TGCCATTTAGAATACCACAGTGATTATTTTTGTAGAGAAGATTCACCAATGAAAACTAAATTTAGTGACCAAAACTCTAAGTAGCAATGACAGCACGTGCAGCCTCCTAGGGCCTTTCCCACCATTTACTAATCAATGTGGCATTTTAAAATTATGACCACATTCAGAATGTGATGGTTCACACCTTTAATCTCAGAACTCAGGAGGCAGAGGCAGGTGGATTTCTGAGTTTGAGGACAGCTTGGTCTATATAGCAAGTTCAAGGCCAGCCAGATCTAAAAACAAACAAAACTGACTATAATATATATATAAAACAGCCAACAAAAAAGACCACAAATTCAAAACGGAGCTTATCTCCACCCTCCTGAGGCCAGCTTGGTCTATATAGCAAGTTCAAGGCCAGCCAGATCTAAAAACAAACAAAACTGACTATAATATATATATAAAACAGCCAACAAAAAAGACCACAAATTCAAAACGGAGCTTATCTCCACCCTCCATGCCACCTCTCATTGTGAAAGTAAAGTGAATTTTTTCTACTTAGAGAATGTAAAGGAAAAAACAGTAACTGGGAGAGCTGGCTCAGCAGTTAACAGCTCTGGCTGCTTTCACAGAGGACCCGAGTTTGGTTCCCAGCACTCACATGGCAGATAACATCCATCCTTCCTTAACTCCAGTTCCAGGGGATTCAATGGCCTCTTCTGACCTCCACGGGCATTGCACATACACAGTGCGTTTACATACAAGCAGACAAAACACTCGTACACATAAAATAAAAATAAAAACAAAACACTTTAGACAAATTCAGCAGAGTGTATTCGAGCAAAGAACAAGTTTTGAATAGGCACCAATGAGAAACAGCAGATGTTTGGGGACCCCAACTTTGCCAAGTACATACAAGTCTTAAAAAGGGGGAGCCTTATACAAATACAAGTTGGGTACAGTTCAGCATGTGTTTTATTTGGACTTGGTCTGCTCAGATGGCTGGCTGTTGGTTGAAGCTCAAGGTTGAAGCTCACTTAGGCTTTCAATTTATTTATAACAATCACTTCAAGTTCCTTACATGGGGAACTCACGTAGACTTACAATCTAAGTGCCTTTTAATGCACATAAACACTGCATTAGGCAGACGTTACTAGCAACTTTATTAATAATAGCATGAGGGTGAGGCAGGAGTGGGCAGGTAACTTGGGGACATTGAACTTGGAGGAAGTAGCCTCAGGACAAATTTAATTTATACAAGTAATCATCCTCAACAAGCAAGCACAAAGTCATGAGGGGATGGAGGTGTGGCTCTGTGGTAGAATGCACACTCATACACACATAATGGAAAGCAAGGTAAGATCAATAAAATGTAATGAACTGGTAGACTAATAAGACCTGATGATTGAAAGTACTTCTGATATTTTGGATTGGTTCCTGGAACAAGAAAAGGAAATTAGTGGAAAAAGAAGTGAAATATTTGAACAAATCCTAGAGTTCAGTTTGTAGTATTATTCCCATGTTATTTTTTAAAACGTTTATTACTTTTATTTTGTGTGTGTGTGTGAGTGTATTGTACGTGTGTAAATGCACCCATGTTGTGCAAAGCTTATGGTGGTCAGAAGAGGGGATTGGATCCCCTGGAACTGGAGTAACCTACGGTTGTTAGCCACCATGTGGGTGCTGGGATTCGAACCCAGGTTCTCCACAAGAGCAATCTGTGCTCTTAATGGCTGAGCCATCTCTCCAGCCACGTTATTTTCAAATTAATACATGTACCTCAGAGACATCAACTGCTATCATGAGTTAAATATTGGTGAAAGCTACATTAATCTGTTTTTTAGACTTGAGTTTCCTGTGTCCCAGGATGGCCTTGAACTGGCTATGTAGCTGAAAATTACTTTTAACTTCTGATCATCCTGGCGATTATAAATCTGGCTCACCAGGAAACGTTCTTTAATACTGTTTAGCACTAAATTGGTGACTTGCTTCCTCATTCCTTATTCCAGAGACTAGCCATGCAGATGCAGATGCAGATCAGATGTAGATGCTCTTTTAGTTTCTCGGTATTCAGATAAATTTGTTTCACGTTAATAAATTAAAGCACAGCCATCCTTCTTTTCGAATGTAAGATACATTGGTTTGATCCACAATCTCCAGGGCACTGTCAGAATGCTGGCTCCAGGAAGGAGTGTGTTTAAGTCAGCAATCAACTCCCTAACAAGAAACTCTCCAGGTAATGGACAGAGGCCGGACACGGTGTGTTCCAGTGAGCGCAGCTCGGAGAAATGTGCTAAACAGTTCGTGGTTCTGAGTTTGCACGGTGAACGCCTTTAACTCTCATCGCAACCCTGGCACCACGCTGTCACGAGCATCACTTTACAGTTGAGGGTGCGACCTGAGCGGGCCACCTTCATAGGGTACCACTCCGTCCAACGCTGGCGACAGGGACCCACTCCCCCTCGGACGGGCGCCACGCCGCCCCTCCCTCGCGCATGCGCACCCTGCATTCGTTCTGCAGGTCCTTGCCTGGCCTCCAGTCCCTCCTGGGAAACAATCCTTGGCCTAGGGGTCCGCGCACCGAGGGAGCGGCGGGTGAGCCCTGGACCCCGGGGCAAGGGCCGAGGGTGCTCCGGGGTTCGGGAGGCCGTGCGGGATGTAGCCGGGGTCCAGTAGGGAGGGGCGGCGGGGGGACGGTCTGGCCAGGGCATCACTGTCTAAGGATGGCGCTGGGTGGAGCATGGGGACGCTCGGGCTCAGGCTTGCGGGGGGTCCACACACGTTCAGCTCCCCAAAGCGAGCTGCACCCAGGGGCCGCCGCTTCGTATTGCGCGTGCGCGTCGTGTGCACTGGGTAGGGGCGGGGCTGTTCGTGAGGAGTTACGCATGCGCGACGCGCGTTTGACATTGTGACGTGTGTGCCTTTCCTGGATGCTGGGGGTGGGCTAGAGGCTAGGATGTGGTGCGAGATCCCAGTTGAATGAATTACTGGGGCAGAATAACTCCCGCAAGACTCAGTTTCCTTTTCTGTAAAATGCGAATATTAAGAATATTTGCTGCCTTTAAAAAGAAAACTAGCCGCTGCTGTTTGTTGGCCTGGCGAGTGCGCTGGGAGGGTCCTAGGAAGCCCACCCGAGCTGCCGGCCTCCAGTGCAGGAAAGGGCTGTCTCCTGCCCCTGGCACACCTCGGATCCCAGCTCTTTATTTGTGACTGGCTCACTTATGTGTAATGACCCAGGTATCCTGAAACCATGGAAGGCTGTGTGCCCGTCGAAGTTCTGGGACAAGTTTAAGAAGAGAGGTGAGCTGGAGCTGAGCGATCCGGGTGCACCCAGGCTGCACAGGGGATGCCACCTCTGCAGAACACGATTGGGGGTGAAAGGCTCCCCAGCCGCGGCTCAGGAAGTGTGTCACCACCCCACCTAACGCCCTCTGCGTCCCTCCTATCGAGTCTGGAGGGGAGCACCCCCCCAACACTCACCCAAAGGCAGCCTGCAGAGAGGTGCTGAGGTTCTCTTGGCAGGAGCCCACAGGCCGGTAGTGTGGGAGGGTCTTTTGAGATCAACAGGTTTGACTTGGAAAGATTTATTATTATTA